TAAAGTACCAATGGCATATTTCACAGACATAGAACAAACACTTCGAAAATTTATATGGAACCATAAATGAGCCTGAATAGCAGCTGCTCTTTTGAGAAAGAAGAACAAAGTAGGGGGGATCACAATACCTGATATCAAACTGTATTACAAGGCCACTGTAATCAAAACAGCCTGGTACTGGCATAAAAACAGGCACATAGACCAATGGAACAGAACAGAGAGCCCAGAAATCAACCCAACTCTCTACAGTCAATTAATATTCGACAAAGGGGGCAGTAACATAAAATGGAGTAAAGATAGCCTCTTCAACAAATGGTGTTGGGAGAACTGGACAGCTACATGCAAAAAAAATGAAACTTGAGCACAGACTTACACCATACACCAAAATAAATTCAAGGTGGATAAAAGACTTAAATATAAGTCGTGACACCATTAAAGTCCTAGAGGAGAACATTGGCAAGAAAAATCTCAGATATTTCACGCAGCAACTTTTTTACTGATATGTCCCCTAGAGCAAGGAATGTAAAGGAAAGAATAAACAAATGGGATTTCATCAAAATAAAAAGCTTCTGCATGGCTAAAGAAAACAGTATTAAATTAAAAAGACAACCAACTGTATGGGAAAACATATTTGCCAATGATACCTCAGACAAAGGTTTAATCTCCAAAATATATAAAGAACTTACACGACTCCACTCTAAGAAGACACCCAACCCAATTAAAAAATGGGAAAAGGACTCGAACAAACACTTCTCCAAGGAGGACATACAGAACATTCAGAGACACATGAAGAGATGCTCAATATTGTTAGCTATCAGAGAGATGCAAATTAAAACCACAGTGAGATACCACTTTACACCAGTCAGGATGGCTATCATAAACAAAGCAACAAACAACAAATGTTGGAGACGTTGTGGGGAAAAGGGGTCCTTAGTTCACTGTTGGTGGGATTGCAGACTGGTACAACCATTATGGAAAACAGTATGGAATTTTCTCAGAAAAATAAAAATCGACCTGCCTTTTGACCCAGCAATTCCACTGCTGGGATTATATCCTAAGAATCCTAAAACATCAATATCAAAGAACCTGTGCACCCCAATGTTCATAGCAGCACAATTTACAATAGCCAAGAGTTGGAAGCAACCTAGGTGCCCATCAGTAAATGAATGGATCAAAAAATTATAGTACATATACACAATGGAATTCTATGCTGCAGAGAGAAAGGAGCTACTACCTTTTGCAACAACATGGATGGAACTGGAAATCATTATGCTGAGTGAAATAGGCCAGGTGCTGAAAGACAAATACCATATGATCTCACCTTTAACAGGAAGCTAAACAACAAAACAAACAAGCAAGCAGAAAAAAAAAAAAAAAACAAAGACACTGAAATAGAGAACAAGGGGACAGTGACCAGAGGGGAGAAGGAAGGGAAGTTAAGGGGAAAAAGGGGGAGGGATTTGGAGGAACAAATAGGAAGGACACAGGGTTGAGAACTAAGGGCGGTGGAAATGTGAGGGAGGTGGGGAGCAAGGGGCAGGGGAGGCTGGGAAGGGAAAAATAGACAAAAAACTGTACTTGAAAAATAACTAAATAAAATTAATTAAAAAAAAAAGACCCACTGATGGCTAAGAACTTACCATGGGAATTCTAAGCCCTGCACCATGCCTACAAGATGGATCCGAGTGTCCTGGCCTACAAGCGAGGACACTGGAGACGGGCGAGGCTAGACTATGTCTATTTCTTGCTCTATGTGCCAATGCCAAGGGGATGGTGGTGCTTAACAGATTTAAGAGACAGGCGCAGAGTCTTAGGGGGATGCGACCCTGGGGTGGCTATTTCTAGACAGGCCCCCGCCTTGTATTAACTCCCTTCTCTGTCTGACAGTCCACACACCCACGACTGGCACCCTTTACCAGTGCGCACTGTCTTTCCCCTGACCTCTGCCTCCCCAGGGGCTGCCTGGTCTTCCCGGCACACACCACAGGCAGTGGAACTGGGCGGGCCTGTCTGCGTTCCCTGAGCATTCTGCCCGCCTCTCCCAGGCAGCACCTTCTGCAACATGTGCTGAGACGGGCCCGACCCTTCCTTCTCTCCAGCTGCACACCCACTCCATCAACAGACCCTCTCAGTCATACCACTGAAATAATCCAGGCACGAACCACCTCTCGTCACTCCCATCAAGGTCACTGTCGTTAAAACATCATCTCCCTCTGACCAGCCTTCTAGCTGGTTCCACCTTAGACTCTCTCTTCAAGTCCATTCTCATCATGGCAGACAGAGGATCCTCAAAACATCGAGTCCGATCCTGTCCCTGTTCTGCTCAAAGCCCTGGGGTGGGGAGGTGACCTGGACCACTCATCTGATCACCTGGCTCCTCCTCAAACTCCTTCCTGGGCTGCCATTCCCCATGTGACAAAGATCAAAGTTGCTCCCTACCCTCGACTCCTGCAGGGAGGGGCGTGCTGCCTCCTGCCCATCAGCTGCCTGACATCCCACCAGCCTGCTGCCTATTCAGCAAGCAAGCCCCAGGTGTCCCCCACTGCCTGCAAGCACGTGAGCAAATTCTCCAAAGTGGAAACAGCTGGGACACCCTCTCCTCACCAGATCCTCTCTGGCATGGAGCCGACGAATGAGGAAATAAGGGTACCACAGGCTGTCCCCACACAGCCTCCCATCTGGGGGGTTCTGGCCCAGACTCGGCCTTCATCATCGAGGGGTTGCAAAGGCCTTCAGAAGTCGTTTGGCCTCGCGCCATCAGCCCGGCAGCACTGGCTCCAGAAAGGGGCGTGTCCACTCTGCATGTAAAGGACGTTGCGTTCTGCGGTAACGCCCTCATGAATGCCAGCAGTTCTGGAGGGGACAGTGTTTCGGTACCCAACGTGAACACGCTTTTTCTTTCAATGTAGAGCCTTTCTTCATCAGTATTCACGAGCAAGTAAAGGCTTTCGTCCTTTTACATAATAACCCTCTAAATATCTACGCTTGCACTGTCAGCGGACTGGGAATGGATGTCAAGTACTGAGTCCGTGTCGGGCTCTGCTAAATGCTGAGCCTGGTCGGCGCATTCACTCTGCCCCGAATTCCCATGACTAAAACGGGGCCAATGTTCTACTCATTCAGTACATGCTTACTGAGTCCCTATTAGGAAGCAGACATGGTTCGTGAGCGCATTTACATATTAACATATTTGCATATTAATAGAGACACGGACTGATGCTGGGCATTTAGGGGGTGCAGATTTCAAGAGAAATCGTGCGGCCCAGCCGGTCGGCTTGTATGCCTCCAAGGCCCCCCGATTGCTGGCTCCCGACCCCAGGGGTATGCGGGCGAGCATGAGGGACAGCGCCCAGAACGTGCGCGCTCCCCAGCACTTCCTGCGCGTACTTGCTGTGGGGCAGGCCCTGGCAGGAGTGCTTCACGTACATCCCCTCCTACACCTCCGACTGGAGGCTTAGTCTCCAGGGCGCTACGGTCCCTCGTCCCACTATGCAGATTCATAAACCGAGGGAGGCGGCAACGCAGCCTGCTCAAGGGCAAGCAAGTAGATAGATGGTAGAGCAGGGATCTGAACGTGGGTGGCCTGACTCCAGAGTCTAAGTGTTCCTGTCACCAGTTGGTCACCGTTCTGACTTTTACGTGTTAGGGGCACAATCCTGGTCAGAAAGAGACCGGGACCCTGCTCGCACAGAACGCCCCCCCCCCGCCCAGGGCGGGGAGACACACACGTTCAACACGATCATAACAACAGACAGGGACGCCTGTTCCAAAGGACACGGACGTGGGGCTCCAAGGACTCTCGCAGTGGCCCCAGACCCCTCCGAGCTGAGGGAGGGGACCTGGTCTGAGCTCCGCAGGGTGGAGGGGTTGGGAGTGGGCGGGGCTGGAGAAAGGCAGAGGCCGCCACATAAACATTCACGGGAGAGTGGGCACGGGCTACCCCTTGCAGGTCCCAATAGGCCCGCTAAATATTTGTCAGCAGAGGAAAGGCAGCTCAGGAAGGAGTTTGAGGAGGAGCCCGGCGATCAGATAACGGCGCCCTCTGCGTGCCAGGTGCGGCCAACAAGGCAGTTAGCGTGATAGGCCTTTATGAGCCAGAACGTGCTACAGCATCCACGTGTGGCTTCCCCAGGAGCGGGTACAGGTTGCCCTCTCCGGGGGACTTTGCATCACCTACGGAACCACCCCATGAACGCTGTGAGAAGGTGTCCCTGGTGGGCAGCCCGACACAGCTGGGGTCTGGAGCCATATGTAAGGGGACCAGAGGGGTACCGGAGGGTCAGTCTGGCCCCACGATTTGTCCTAAACTTCCAGCATCAGTCAACGTCTCTGCTGATGCGCAAACACTCTCCGTTCAGGCCAGAGCCCTGGAGAAGCAGGATCCAGGAGAGCTAAATTCTGGTTGTGGAGGGGATGTGATGTCTCAGAACACAGGGCGGCAGCCAGACCAGCCAGGGGAATTGTGGGGAAAGGCAGCCCCAAGTAGCCTACTGTTTGCACAGTGGGTGCGCACACCCCAGTGACAAGGGCCGGCCCTGGTGCACGGGAGAGAATGCTTCACCGAAGAACAGCTCCATAATAACTCCAAGGAGGAGGAAGAAGATTTGGACTACATCTTTGGTAGAGAGGAAGCGAGTGAGCAATTCCCAAACTGCAGCCTTTCTATGTTTTCATTAAAAATAACTTTTCTGAGGTGCAAACAATACGGAGAGAGTCAGTGACCCGAAGAGCAGCCCGAGGGCAGAGACCACGGGGATGTCAGCACTCACGGGGCACCTGGCGCGGCACCACCTGCACCTGGGGCCTCCGTCAGCGCACCCCACTGGCTCCGGGAGGCACTGTGCAGGGCCGGCTACACCGAGGACTGCACGGGAGGCAGAGCTCGCGGGGCACCCCCTCAGCTCCCGGTGGCCCTTTCTCGCCCTTGCTCCCTCTTTCCTGGGGGCGAGGGGAGGTCCCTGGGGCATCCGTTGCAGACCTGCCAGCCCAGTGTCACTTACCTTGTGCTTTAACATCGTCCACCACGGGGCAAGGGGTCTTGACGATCACGTCGCTGGGGCGGGAGCGCCGTCCCGTGTTGTCCACGCCCCACAGGGTGAACCTGGCAGGGAGAGGGGTGTCGTTGGCAGGGAGAACCGAGGCCCTGCGGACGGCCAAGCTCAGCCTAGCTGCTCTGCCCTGTGACTCCACAACGCACTTCCTGCCACCTCCCAGGCCGTCAGGCGTGTGGTCTGTGGCCTCTCGCTGCATCCTGCATTGGGGTCCTGCGTTGTAATCCGCTGTGTGGGGACACTACCTAATGGGAGGCACTGGGGTGCTGAACCCCGGCCCTCAGACTGGGCCCGCTGACCAGCCGCGAGAGCAACAGAAACGCTCACACTGCGCCTGCGTCGTCCGGACTCCCACACTGCGCCTGCGTCGGGAACGCCCACACTGCACCTGTCAGAATGCCCACACTGCGCCTGCGCCAGTCACTACCACGCTGCAGCTGCGTGGGCGAGGCCAGGGGCGGGGAGCAGGTGTATCTGGCAGCCCAGGGAAGGGTGCGTATCCATGGAAACGGAGGGTCAGAACCGGGGTCTGAGGACGCTGCTGCTCGCCCTGTGGAGGTGATTTAACTCTTCTGGGCTTTGCCTCCCTTCTCCGTGAAATGGGGAGGTGACCAAGCAGCCCCAGGGCAGCACCAGGAGCCCAGCAACACTGCGAGACTCGGCTCCACCCTTTTCTGTCATGTCTTTGCTCAGCTAACACTTAGACACCACGGACTGACGACAGTTCTCGTTAAAGTCCGAAGTGAAGCCACCAGAGTGGAGGGGCCTGGTCCTGCCAGGGGCCGGGGCTCTGCGTCCCACAGGCAGCTCCTTCCGACCCCGAGACGCTGCCCCACGGGCCACGAGTCCCCAGTGGAAATGTGCCCAGAGCTGTGACGATGAGATGGGGCTCTAAGAGCTCCTCTCCCCCACCTAGAGGAGGATGAAGACCGGCTGTTAAAGACTGACCCTGGCATTCCCGCCTCGGGCGATGGAGCCGAGGTTCTGCCGCTCAGAGAGGAACCCGCAGGTGACAGGACGGCCACCTCCGGTGTCCTGCCCGGGCCTCTAACACTAGCCCAGCGAGTCTTGTCACTTTCTCTTTCTCGCGTGTTCTCACGGGAGGCTCAATTCGGAATATTCCTTCCTCTTGGCAGAGCCGTGGGAAGAAGACACGCCCGGGGTGGAGTGGCCCAGTACCTCCTGCTGTGAGGCGGCACCACCTCGGGGCAGGACGTGCCTGGACTGCTTGGCAGAGAAAGGACAGTGGTGCCTCCCCTGCCCCTCCCCTCGGAGGGGCCCAGAGAATGTCAGGGTCGGGGTGCATGGGACTTCCCTCCCTCAGCCCTCCCCATTCTGCCTGCGGGGACCACACAGCACCCTGGCAGCCTTCCTCGCTCCAGGACCCTGGTGCTGTGGGGCTTTGACTGCGCTGACCTGCCTGGGCGCAGAGTACAGTGTCCAGACCCCAGCCGTGGGCTCTGGGCAGGCCTGAGCCCAGGACCAGGGACTCGGTCCACCCCACCGGCTTCTGCCTAGAGCCTCCAGGACCATGTTCCTCCCTTGCTCCCCACCCTTAGGTTGTCCCACCACTCCGGGCAGCCTGGCTCTGTGTCCCAGCTTGCACTAAATTTCAACTAAACTGAAAGAATACTGAGCCAGGATAAAAATGCCTGTGCTTAAGTTAATTCCTAAATTACTCCAATGGGCCAATTAGTGTATGATTCAGGCTCCTAAGCACTATGTTTAATAGCAAAGCAAGGTACCAGGAAAGGAAATGTTTCCTGCAAGTGTTTTCCCTCCACACCTGACTGAGGAATTATAGACAAATATTCATGACCCACCACCCAGCCACTCCTCAGCTGTCCCTGTGCCCTTGACCCTCACATGACACTGAAGGAGCCACCTGCTTCTTTCATTATGAAAGCCTAGGGAGCACCTTATGCTTGGGAAGCACCATGTACAGTACTTTCTGGAAGGCCACCTCTGTCTACGGTGAGCATTAGCGTGTCCACTGAGAACACTTGAAGGACAGGGAGGGGACCGGCCAGCGCTGCTGGGCTGGAGGGAGGAGCCCTGGTCTCACCCTGGAGGGCTACCGTGTGAGCACGTTCTCTGCGAGCCTGCAGCCCGGCTCTGGCTCCAGGGCTGGGGTGTTCCAGGCCCAAGTGCCCTCGGGCCTCCTGCCCTGGGCCGACCGGTGTCTGCTGCTCTCTCGCTCTCCCCTCCTGTGTGGCGGTTTCTGCCGATCACTCTGGATCTGCTCCCATCCTCTGGATTACCTGTCCACTGCCACACGCCCCCAAAGGCCATGGCTCTCCTGGGAGCCTGTGCCAGGACAAAGGGGTGGTGGCCTCGAAGGCCAGGGTCACCTCTCCACTCCGGCCTCAGATTCTCTGAAAGGAAGATGCCAGACCAGACACCTTTTCGGATGCTTTTCAGCCACGGATCCCTAACTGGTTTTGTCTCACGGACCCTCCTCAGACTAATGTTTCTTAAGGGCATAGGCTGGCTGGGTCAGCCAGCTGTGCTGACCTGCAGGTCTACCTCCGTGGAATCAGGTGAAGAGCCAGCTTTGCGCTTCCACCTGAGGTGCTAAGGTCATGCTTCTAGATTCTTCCAGTGGCCCAGAGTGGCTGGGGGGAGGGGGGGGGACACCATCGTGCAGAAATGCTAACCAGGATTCCATTCTCACCACTGGCCACAGCCCAGGCAACCAGCTGTGTGATTCTGAAAGTTACTCCGTGCGGCCGAACCTCAGTTTCCCCAGCTATAAAATGGGAGCAGTGCCCTTAACCTCACCCTGTTCAGACGGCCCAGACGCACCCTCCCAGGGTACTCTCTGGAAGGCTGCCTTCCTTTATTTCGGAGATGAGAAAACTACGTCGCAGAAACTTTGAAGCTCGTTTACAATCACTTAGTGGCTAGAAACGAGCCAGGCGTGGGGCCCAGGTGTTCCCCACTCTCAATCGGGACTCCCGTCCTCCTCCTGCACCTGGGGCTGGAGCTCGGCTCCACTCCGTCCCCGCTCAGGCCCTGTCCGGCGGTCCGCAGCGCCACCTGGTGGAGACTGACTGTCTTTCCCTCAGGCCTATGCGCTGGCTGGAACTTGCTCAACCATCAAGGTTCTTGTTTTACAGCCAGAAGGGGGCGACTCTGGAAGCTCACCGAGGATGTCAGAGAAGGAGATGGGATCAGCCTCCCTTCTTTGACCAGGCAAGGCTGGCCGCATCAGGCCAACATGAGCAGGGTCCCCGGTGGGGGAGGGCTGGCTCTCCCCATAGATGCTCTGCCAGCCTGGTGCTCACGGGAACTTTGAAATCCCTAATTAACAGTGTGCCTTAGTGACGGGAACTGGGGAGCCTCATTATACAGGAAACTTCTGCTGCAGGCATTTCACGGCAGGTGCCTTCATCCTGGGATTAACCTGTATGTCCCTCTGCGCCTCCCAGCTCCCCCACAAGATGCTCATCTCCATGTATTCTACCTTCCTCTGCAGCCCCCCTGAACCCCATTACATTTCTTTTTCCTGTATCAGAAATGTTCAGTCTGGGCATCAAAGTTCACCCTGCAATCAAGCCACTCACACGTCTAGTGCTTTTCATCCTTGAACTCTCTGGCTGCGGAAATGGAAATGACTTATTGTGCACACCTCGACTCCATTCTCGTGACCTCGTCTGTAAATTGTTACATGTTTTTCATCCTGACGGGGTTGAAAGGTCCCAGAACTACACCACAACGGTCTCTGCCTCAGCTCCCCAGTTTTCCCCTCGTGGCTTAGATTCCGTCATTCTCTCTCCTCTTTCGGATTCTGTTCTGCCTCTGCTTCACGAATGTTTGAGAAGAGCTGTTTCCGGAGCACAGGAAGGAATGGGGACGAGCCCAGCAGGGTTCTTGTTAGGCTACTCCTTGCCCCCCCCCCCAATTAATAACCTCCCTTGACTTAGAGCGTCCATGCTGATTTCCCAGTCTCTTCTATCCTTTGACCCGCCATCTGCTCCCGCCCCTCGGGCAGCTTCGCCGCTCACCTTCACGCCCCTTCGCTTTCCCTGTCTGCTTCGTCCACCTGCTGTGCCTTTTCCAACAAGGCCCTTCCCACTGCAGTTCTACACGGTCCGGTGCAGACGGCGTCCACTCAAGTTACCACCCATCCCTTTCTCTTCTCTTCTACGCATTGCTTGCTCTTCTGTCTGACATTACTTTCGTTCCGCCTGATGCTAAAATCAGTTGTCTATCTATTTCCCCTCTGGGATGCAAACTCTTTGCAGGATGGGACAATTGTCCCTCCCTTCCTCCTCCCCCTCCAGTGCCTGGAAGCGGCTGTGTAAGGCAGAGTGGGACAAGACTTGGGGGACCCAAGACAGTTCCCACGTGTCTGAAGGAACTGCAGTTCCAAGAAGGGAACCAGCTGGGAGCCTCGGGCTGTGCGGGGTGGGGGACATCTGGGCCGCACGTGTCACTCACATGTAGATGGTGTCGGGCTCCAGGCAGCGGATGATGAGCGAGATGGTGGCGAGCTGCCTGTCGGGCACCTGCGAGGGCATGGCACAAGGGGACTTCGCGCCCGAGATGACGTCATCCACGAAGCTCAGCACCGTTTCTGCCGGAGGAAGGGATGGAGAAGGCGTCAGGAACCCCGACGGCCAAGTGAGGAGGCCAACTCAGTGGGGACTCGGTCCCCAGCCTTCTCCAATTTCGAGTAGAGGAAGGAGACTTAGAAGGAATGCGTTTCCATGGCCGTTTCGCATTTAACTAAGAGATTTAGGGACATTTGCCTACAACGAGTTCAGAAACAACTAAGGCAAGATGGACAGGGCACCTTTGCAAAAGCTTTTGTGACATGTCCCTGGTGAGGATAGCTGTCTGGTCCGTGGTCACTGCCAGACCACGGTGGCAGCTGTGCACACCAGGGGAAGGGCCTTGGGAACAGCCGTACACAGCAGCCTGCACCGCAGGCACTGAATGCGTCTCTACGGCCCAGTGACGGTTTCACCGGAAGACGTTCGCCCTGAGTCGGGCTGTGGGCGCCACCGTCCTATCGGGGACCACTCTCACACATCAGTTTTGGGAGCGATTTACGCTGACTGTTCCTGCGTGTAGATGGTGAAACCATTGGGGAAGAAAGGCTTCTCACGGAGCATTTAAGACGTTGTTCTAGACGGCCCTGACGAAAGCAGAGTTTGCTTTAGGACAAGACGGGGGGAAGTGACTCTGTCGGCACAGGCGTTTGCCTGGAGGGAGGTTATTAGCAAAGAAGCCTTTTCTTCTGTAATCATGGCAGCGGTTAGCGCAGAACTGTTCCCTCCTTGTGGCCGAGGGTAACCAGGCCTGTATTGTTAGGTCTTTGTGAGGGTGCCCAGATGCAATGAAATGGACACCTTTTAAAAACAAAAGAGCGACAAAATCAAAACAAGGCTGGTCAGACACTCCCCATGCAAACCTTGGAACCGAACAAGATGGCTGGTGCTTCTGCTTCCCCCCGCACAACCCTGGCACTGGGCTGGAGCAGAGCCGGGGGCAGGGCACCCCTCTTTGCTTCGCCACCCTGCATCCAGAGGGGCCCCTGATGGGGGGAGACGCTCACCTGTCTCCACTTTGGAGTGGTCCAGCCTGTCGGTGACCTTCTCCTGGCGGACGAGGTAGTCCACAATCTGGACACCGATGGGGGGCTCCGAGTGCTCCCACGCCAGGACCACGAGGGTGCTGCTGGGCTCGTGAGCCGTGGACAGTCTCAGCCTGCGGGCAGACAGGGGGAAATGTGAGGTGGGGACCCCATTGAGCCCGGAGAGGGTCATCCAATGCCACCACCGGCCACCTGCGTACCTGTCGCCCTACTAACTCTTCCTTCTAACCTCTCCTTACCCAACCACTACAGTGACCCCTTGGAGGGCCTGTCCCCTTCATTAGAGAGTCAAGTTTCTTGAGGACCCTTGAAATCTACATTTTATTCCTCTACGTGCCTGTTATGGGTTAGGAACTCAGCGTGCATTTGTGATTAAATGGGTAGGTGAATGGAGGATGGGCAGACAGCGGCATCGCACGTGGCCAGGGACCGTAGTGCGTTAGAGGGCTGGGGAGTGTGATTTCTGCATTTGCTCTGGAAAAATAAGAGCGTGTGCCCAGGATGCTCATACACAGGCCTGTTGAAGGGGGTGCCTAGGAGACCCTGGCATTAGCCAGCATGCGGCTGGCTCACTTCCCACAGCAGTATCGGGGTCTGCCGGGGAACCCTGGCTTCCCCTCTTGCTATGGGTGCTAACCCATCTTCTTCCCCAGGCCTTCCGCAGGGCGGGTCCCAGAACAGGCTCAGGTTGGAGGTGACGCTCACAGGGTGACGCTCACTGGGCAAGAGAAAGCTGGCCTCACGTCAGGCTGTCCTCGGGGGGGTGGGGGGGGGGTGGTGTCCTGTGTCTGCAAACTCGGGTCCTCGTTCCCGCTCCTGTTTTTGCTCCCGGGTTGCTCTGAACATCCTGATTCTGGATTCCATTCTTTCCTCGCTTTTCCCAGTTCGCGGTCTCGTCCCTCTGTGCAGATTGTCCATCTCGGCCACCCACAGCCCAGCTGCCTCAAACTTCTCTGTATCGCAGACACTCAATGGCCATTACTGCCATTCACCGGTAGGAGTCTCCAAAGGGTCCGAGCAGTTTCCGTTCCCCGCCTGGTTCCGACTTCCCGGGTCTGCGTCTCAGGTTTCTCGTTGGCCTCCACTCCCTGTCCTCCTAGGCCACTGCGTTCTGGAATTTCTCCAGAAATCCGGGTCCGGCTCATCCCAGCCACCCTCCTTCCCAAGTAATCCCTGCCATTCACACCCGCCCTTGCTCCCCCTACCTTGAGACCCCCATCGTCCTGCCCTGCTGGCCTCCACTCGGCTCACAGACGCCTGTCCTTGGTCTCAGGGATCCCTGGGCAAGGCACTGGGGACGCATCACACCAAAGCAATGTTCAATCTCCTTTCAGCAAAGATTTATTGAGTGTCTAGTGCTGATAAGAACGTGCTTGGTGAGTGCTGAAGAAGGGGTGTGCATCGCGCCAGCCCCAGCCCGTTTTTGTGGCGTGGTTACCAAACATACAGTTGTCCGTGTGATTATAATAACGTGTGATAAGAACTTCAACAAGAGATCATGGGCGGCTGTGGGAGCTGCAGCGAGGAATTCAACTAGTGGGGAAATGATGAGAAACACATGCACCTCGGTGGCTCCTGATGAAGAAGTGCATAGTTTGCATGTGACACGGAGGGTGGACCGGACCCAAAACAGTGCAGATGTGGACAGATTCATTAATCAGAGTCACATGCAGAGTGCTGTTGCGAGGAACAGGCGCGAGGAAGCTTGAGCAAGGAAGCGAGCCTTTCTGAGAACTCGGATTCCGTGCACACACAGACCCTGGCAGGCCTCTGCTGAGAAACAGGGGTGTGTGTGTGGCTGACACGTGTCTGTGCAAAACTAAAGTGCGTTTCTCGTTCCCACTAGCAACCAAAGATCCCGGTAACTACGGTCTGCCGCTAGGAGAAGAGACTAAAACCCACAGGGAAGGTGCAGACCCTGGGGGATGCTCCTGTCCGTGACGGTTCAGCCCAGTTCGTTGTGACATTTAGTGAATGCAGGCATTCGAATGACACCGGCCCCACAGCACTGGTGGCTGGACACATGTGCTCTTGTGCCAGAGACCGAAACCGTTTGGTGGCTTCTGTGTCGGGTGTCCAAAGTGGCTTTCTTGGTGAATTGGTCTAGAGGCACCATCTTCTCCTAATGGTTCCTTTTCTACCAAAAGAAAGAACTTTTACTAATAATGAGCTTAATCGTCTTTTAACTTGAGAGGTCCAAGTCACAGCTCCAAGGAGCAAGGAGCCAAAGCTACTCACACGTGGATGGCCCATGGGTGACAGGAGACACTGGCTCGTAATGACACTCGACTGTGGTGTTGTCCTCTTGCTCTGTGTCCTTCCTGCTCAGCACTGGCCCCGTTACTGTGCCCTCCCTGCGCTTCTCCAAGGCAGGCAGCGGGCAGGGTTCGCCGAGACCACCCTCTCACTTGCTGGTTCCGTCTGCCCTCTCGCTCCGGCCTGCTCGGCCCTCCAGGTTCCACGGGCCCTGAACCTCGCTTCGAGCTGTCTGAGCCTCGCCAGCCCATGGGGCCGTTCGCCTTCCGCTGGGCCCACCGGCCCACCAGCATTCTCTACTGGACGTGATAGTTCGGTGCTGTATTCCAGTGGCAGATGCCACGCTGGGGACCCGGCAGGGGCTCCTGCCTCGGGGCCTCGCCCGTCAGGATTTCCGGGATGTTCTGCCAGTCTGTGCAGCCTTCCCCTGAGGGGGAGGAAGCTGGATGCGTTCATTCCCAGCTGCCTTTGCAGCGCTCTCTGCTCTGCTCACCCCTCAGACACAGCCTAGGGCTCGTCCCTGACCCTCCGCTCTTCCAGGCTGGTACTCATTCTGGAGCATCCTTTCTCGGAGCCGGGGCTGCATCCCTCCTTGCTCTGGCTTTGACCGACATCTCCTTGTCTCCAGTGTGGGCTTCTTCACGCAGCTCCAGACCGGCGTTCTCTCCGACCGCTGCCCATCGGTGTGGGACCCCCGCTCTGACCCCGGGCAGGCCCACACGGAACCGGCCCCTCGTAACAGCGCTTATTCTTTGGTGCTTCTTCTCCCGGGCGTGGCTTTTTCACCTTTCCACCCGCCCCGGTCATAAGTCAGAGTCCATTCCCAACTTCTCTTTCCTTCCCACACCCACCGAGGGGCCACCAACCCCGCTGGTTCCCCCCAAAGTCTGCTCTCCGTGGTATCCTGGCCACAGTCACGGCTACTGTCACGGCGTGGTAGGGTCGGCTCTGCTTCCTGCTCCACGACCTTGACAACTTCTTCGGTCTATGCAAGTCCCGCCCCTTGTCTATTACAGGGCGGGGCTGACCATACCTGACACCCCACACAGTGCCTGACACCCAGTAAAGGGGCTGTTGGCCTCATTCTGGACCAGCCTCCCCCCGACCCCCGCCGTCCTGGCCCGGCTGTCCTACATTCTCTGCCTTCTCGGACAAGGCAAGCGCTGCCTCTTTTGTGAAACCTTCCTCACTGGCCAAATCCGGGCCCAGCGCTTCCCTTCCCACACCGTCTTTAAATGCCTCCTACAGCTGCTATCAACCCTTCCTCCTGCCATGACAATTTGTGCACCTGCCTCCCTGGAAGATCAAAATCTCCCCAAAGGTTTCCTTTCTGTTCCCCAGGACCCAGCCCCGAGCTTTGCTAAGAGCAGTCCCTCTCTAATAAGAGTTTGCAGAATAAAAATGCTGAGGCGCGCACGCCAGAGAGAGGCCGAGGCGGGGACGCGTACACGGGCTGTGGGAGAGGCGCGCAGGTGGGGAGCCCGTCAGCTCCGAAGGCCGTGGAGTCGCAGCGGCACCAGTCCTCGATGACGTCGCCTGTCCCGGAGCACCACAGAGAGCTCATGGTGGCCTCCTGCAAGAGCTGCAAGAGAGGGCAGAGAAAAAAGTGAGAGCGTCCAGGGGCCAGGGCTGAGTCACCAGCATCCGGGGACCGTGCGTCAAAGCTCCGCTGGTCCCTGCACAGCGACTTCCAGCCGGTGGGCTGTGGCGCCTCCTCACCATTTGTGATCTGAAATCCCTGCCCCGGCAGCCTGCTCTGGGAGGCCTGGACCTCGGGGGCCTGTCAGGTTTAGCATGTCCCCACCGGTTGTCCCCATGGTGAGACCTGGGGAGCAAGTCTCACTCCGCCTGCCATCTCCCTCCGTCCGTCCCAGCCTGGGCTCCGTCAGCGAGGACTCTCCACCAGGCAGTCGGGGGCCTGCCTGCACCGCTCGACCCTTGTCCCTCTGCCCCTTCTCCGGCCCCCCCCCACGCGTCCTCCCTGCCCCCTTCATCCGGCCCCAGGACGCCCTGTGCTTTTTTCCTTCAGCCCACCCTGGAACTCTCTCACGTGTTTACCCATGAACTCTAGCCCTGCCAGGAGCTGTCTCGTGACCTGGAGCAGATTACATAAACTCAGTCTCCTCCATGGCGCAGGGGATGAAAATAGCACTTTCACAGACAGGAGTCACATATAAATAGTGCACACCAGTCATCAGTAGAAGCCAGTGATTATTATTATCTTTGAATGACAGGGTTGGCTCTTACATGGACGCTTCTGAGTGCCGCAGGGCCCAGGGCGGCTCCTCGCACACAGGGACCGCACAGCCCACGGTCCCTGTTACCTAAAAGCACCAGGGATCACTTTAGACGGTGAGGGGGCAGGACTCGTGAGGGGCAGTTCCTGGGGAGAAGGCAGACCCTGTGGGCATGGAGCCCTCCTGCCCCTCGAGGCCGAGAGGGGGCAGAAAATGGGCCCAAAGGTCCACCCAAGAGAGACACACCGAGAGACTGACACCAGGACATAGCGTCCTTCACTTCCCCGCTCACCTCCGTTCTCCGGGGGAAAGAGCAGAATTAGAAGGAAAGGCGGAGGGGCCCTGCGGCCTCAACCCCAGCCCGGGGTCGGGGGGAAGGGGGACCCTGGCTGCAGGGCTGGCCACGCTGGCCAAGGTCAGAGCCTTCTCTCCGGGTCGCTCAACAGCTGCAGCCTCTGCTTTCCCAGTGCTCCCCCTTCTCTGCCCCTCTCTCACCGTACCCACGTGGGACTGGCAAATTAGAGAAAGGAAACAGCTAGCCTGGAAAATTTGAGGCTGAAAAAATTCAAGAGGAAGAAGGAGGAGGAAATAGTTAGAACAAAAAGACAACCCTACAAAAATCATCACGTCCAAGCCCAAGGCCAGTATCCAGTATGTCAGCCTTTCAGAAGGTGAGATACGGAATTTGAGACCAGAATAGTTGAAGTAGCGTTCATACCCCTCCCACTGGGACCCTCTAGGGAGCGGGGGCCAATTCTTCGCTGTCCCTGATTTGTGTCGAGCTTCGGAAGGCACAAGGCCCTCCCAGGTGCTGACACTTTCGTTTGAGCTCCAGGACAGACAGTTGTCGTGATTTACAGCAGAAGACACTTGGTGTCAAAGGGGCTTGCTCAGGGCCGGAGGCTTGAGAGCGGGGCCGTGCTGGAGCCGAACCAGAGACTCACCGCGCACCCGGCCTCTGAGTCAGCGCCCAGCAGGGAGCCATGTGCCCATCAGCGCTCCCGTTATGCTCTGCCCGACTGAACCAAATTCAAATCAAAAGGTGTATTTTTAAAAAACTAGGGTAAAAAAAGAAGATCTGGGGCCCCAGGGGGTGGAACAGATGTTGGAGAAAGACCCCCAAAAAAAAGAGGAAGCATCCCTGGGGTCAGTTCCATCAGATGGGATGGGGGCACAGCGGGCGTGTTTGGGGCGGAAGGCGGTGAGACCCCTGGCTGGGGGTATCGTTCCGCCTCCTGGGCTCGAGGTTGCGATCACAGATGAGACTGAAAGACGGCCTCAGACGGGTCTAGTCCAAGAGGGGAGCAACGAGGCCGAGAGGGGCCCAAAAATGGGCCCAAAGGTCCACCCGAGAGAGACACAGGGAGTGACTGACACCAGGACGTAGTGTCCTTCACTTCCCCACTCACCTCCGTTCTCCGGGGGAAGGAGCAGAATTAGAAGGAAAGGCAAAGGGGCAGGGAGAATGGCAAAGACGGAACACGTCTCAGGAAGGAGAGAGAGAGGAAAAGCGCAGGTGGCTGATGTCCAGCTCGGACGGGAGACACCTCCCGCTCCCACCTACGACCAGTGCAGGGAGGCAGGGCAGGGCCGAGTTTGGCAAGCAGGGGACCCACCCAGAAAGGGGGTCGCTGAAGACAAACGCCCTGCGGGGTCCACTGTGCTCGCGACGCCCCTGCAGGAAGCAGGGACTCCTCGCCCTCCTGTCCCACCAGCTCGTCCCTCCTTCCCTGCTCTGTGTGCCTGGCCCCACGGATGCTTCCGGAAGTGAGCTCTGAGCCTGCAGCCCACAGGCTGGTGCCCAGGAGCTCCTGGGGCAGCAGCTGCGGTGGGGGCAGCTCCCCGGGGCGCTCACAGGGGGCAGAGTGGGGCAGCCAGGGCTGGGCGTGGGACTAAAGCCGCTGTCACTCGGGGTCTCCATGGCGACACAAGCCCCTCCTTCTCTTCATCCCTTAGCTCCCCTCCTGTGGTCTCCTCTCCCACCCGGCTTCTGTAGTCACTCCTATCCCATCAGAGAGGAATGTGTAAGCCAAGGGAACAATTTATCTCCTCGTCCCCGTGAAAAACAGTGCTTTCGGACACTCAGTGACGGCTGTGGCAGAGGCAGGTAGGCGCGAGCCCTCCCGCTGGGCCAGGCCCTGTCTATGACACAAGTTGTCACCCACCAGGTGTCCCTTCAAAGAGGACAGAAAAAGCAATTATCACCTCACCTATGTGGGCAACCCTCTCAGGCAGGTAAGCAGCTCACTGCTGAGACTGTACACGGCTTGTCCCCGAGGTCGCCTTTGCCTACTGTCTCCGAGGCCCCACACCCTGAGCTTTCACATCTATATTTTTGTCGTTGTCGTTGCTGCGTCCATTGTTACCTGCTCTGTCGCTTCCGTCCTGGAGGAGGTCAGAGACCGGAGGCCAGCGAAGTCGCTGCCTCGGTCGAGTTCCTCCCCCTCATCCCTCTGTGTCCCCACTTTCCCTCCTCGCACACTTGGAAAGCGAGCCTGGGAGGAACAGAGGGGCGCCTGGGAGACTCGTGACCCCGCCGCATAGTACACGGCTCCTCGCACACGGGCGCTTCGTTCTGACAGTCTGGGTGCTCGGCGGGAAACCACGCCCCCCGGCTCCGGTGGCCAGGTCGCTCACCTCCGGCCAACGTGCTCCTTCTGGTCTCCCTGCTGCTGGTCCCAGGCTCAGGGCCAGTCCCAGGCCAACCAGGGGAGGGGACCTGAGCCTCCCTCATGACTGTCCCAAGACTTCCTGAACCCCAGATTGGGCGACTGCAAATGCTGCGCCCCCACTGCCTACCTTGTTCCTCCCAGCCTCAGATGCTGGAAGACCTGCACAGAGGCTCCGCTGGGACTCCTGAGTCATCGCCATGGGAGTTGTGAATGCAATGACTTGGTTTAATGTGCAAATATGCAAATTAGGGGCCTAGATGAGCTGAACAAAAAGTCTCACTAGCCCCACCCCGGCACGGCTCGGCTGCACCCTGTCACCTCCTCAGTCCACCTGCCACGTCCTCTGTTGCTGCCATCGCCTCCTCCCTGAGCCAAGAGTCCCAGGCCTCTTACCCTCTGGGTCTGGTTGTTGGTCACCAGCTCATAGATGGGGGCCGCCCGGGTCACCTCCAGCAGCACCGGCTCGGCGGGCGTGTCCGGGCTGGAGGTCACGTGGCACAAGGGGCAGGAGGAGGGGCAGCGCCCCTTGCTCTGGCACTCCATGCGCACCCCAGCCGCCATGCGCTTGGTGCCGGACTCCGACAGGCTGGCGATGTACTCCGGGAACGTCAGCACCTTGGGGTCCCTCTCCCGCTCCTCCGACTCGTCGGAGGGGGAGTTGCCTGCCCGACAGGAGAGAAAGAGAGCAGCAGTGAGGAGGGAGGAAGAAGGGCGAGGACTGCGGGGCCTCGTGGCCCCTGAGCGCTGGAGTCAAGTCCTGGAGAGGGCAGAACAGGTCATGGAAGGGGGAGGAATGTCATTCTGTCACCCCACTAACTGGGGGGACCCTCCTCCCAGGAACCCTGACATGCTTCCAACAGGAGCACAGGCTGTTTTCCTTCTGAGCGTCACCGGCTCCACTGACCCTCTTGGGGGCGCCTCTGCAGTTTCTGTGCAGGCCCGTGACTGTCGTCAGTAAGGCCACTGTAACAGCAGGGACGGTTCCGTGGCTCAGTGTCGTCTGCATCCAGAGAATGGACAGTGCCCACCTCCAGCACCGTCCGTGGAAAAGGGACAGAGGATTTCAGAGCGCATCACACTGGCCAGCACGTGCTGCACACTCGCCCTCAGTTTTCCTTGTTCACTATCGGTGGGAGTTACTGAGCCTGTGTGTACCAGGAACGTGCTACCGGATCAAGACCTCCTTACACTGGCTCTCCACATGGAGCCCTATCATTCCTCCCACTTCAGAGAGGAGAAAACGGGGGCCGGGGCCCCAGAATCACACAGCTAACCTACGGTGAGATCTCAGATTGGAATCCAGTTTCATTGGATTCCAAAGCCTTCACCCCACAGGATGTCTCTGCTTCACTATTAATCAACATGCGAAAGATGGGGAAGGAAGGTTGGCTTTTTCAAAAAGATCTGAACTCCAAAGCTCGAAAGATGGGTCCTTATCACCCTGATTGATAAGTAAAAGGAAGGTGGGGGCAGGCAGGCTCTTGGTTTATGTTTTGGTAACAATAAGGAAAACACCTACTAGAAAACAGTATTTTCCCCGTATCACAGAAAGCGGGGCTTGGTATTTCTCTTCCAAGCCCTCATGACTTCTCCCTTAACTTATTAGTCCTACAGGAAGAAGGAAGTAGAGTCAGCTGGCACATACCCCGGGTTCCCCGGGGGCTCCCTGACCCTGATGTTCCAAACCGAACAAGTGCAGGTGGGCCCCGGGGGCTGCTGGGAACAATGGGCAGCAAGACAGCAAGCGATGCTCATGCTCAATGGACCAAACCTTGGGAGGGACCAGTTGGAAGGTTCTAGAAGACACGACTCACTGACTTCTCAGTGGAGTTCTCTCTTACGGAGTCCCCTCTTGCTTGTTGTGCAATGAGTATCATGTGAGGCCATTCAGCACCTTGGTCTCCCAGCGGCACATTCCCATTATGCACCTGAGGCCTCTTCCCCGCCCGCCCCCCCTCCCCCTCCACGGCTGCGTGCCCAGGACGCCTCCTGCACGCCGAGGCAAAGGCTCAGTCAATGACTGTACATGCGGGAGGTAATTTATTTCGCATCTGAAGCCGGTTTAATAACAGATGGAGAGTTGGGCTCAAGCCCTTCCTAGGTTATCAGAGAACGACAAACCCACACATACCAAAACCAAGGGTGATGTTACCAGGTAGGAGGCCGGGGGCCCATGCCAGCCAGGCCGGAAGTCACTCCAAGCCATGTGTGAATCGTGGCTGACAGTCAGGCTTATGCAATGCATGGCTGGAAGTGTTTGTACAGAGGCCTCGATCTGGCAGAACTGTGCCCACCCAGTGCCCAGCCAGGCTACCTGGAATGGGCAGGATAAGGGGAGTGGGGAGGTGGGATCTCTGAATTCTTGATGTTATTTCTAGAAAAACAGGCCTTCACTTATTGGGGAAGTGAATAAAATTGAAAAAAAAAAAACAAACCAGTAAGAACACAGTGCTTCTTTTCAAGATAAGAGTGTTACAGCTTTGCCTTGCAAGCTCTCCCAAACAGCTTGAGGGCCTCCCAGTTGGCCCCAGGCCCCTTGGCATCAGGAGCATTTCAAGATAATCCACAGCCCCTCCTAGTGGAGAATATCTTCAGCCAAGAGACAGGGGAAAGGTTTTCCACAAAATGACCACGAGGTGGCGACATCGAGTCTAAAATGACTCGGAGAGGGAAGGAAAGGTGCAATGAATTCTGTGACCGCCCCGGCAACACAGAAAATGGAGTTATGGAAAAGTAACGCAGCTACTTTCTCCATCAACTAATAAAAAACTAATGAGTAAAGCAATCCTATCCAACATATCCTAAGGAGAAAAATATAAAGTGAGAGACACAAAATAATAATGGGGAAATAAAACTTGTAAGAGAAAATTTTACAAATTCTCAAATCCTTCACATTTGAGTAAAATGTGCTTTGGCGGGGTGGGTAATAAGATGCCAAGAAATTCCTTTCCTCTGACCTTGAATCCTCAAATACCCAGGGACGCCCCTCACCCCCTCCACCCACGTCCATATAGAGAACCCCCTGCCGGCTCACACTGCTCAGATGTTCAGGTCTGACAGCCCAGCGCGGCCACTAGAGGGCACTGCGACCCCACAGAGTCCGCAGCTGGGTGCCGGCTTCCGCCCTCCAGCCATCCATCATTAAGGCTTTAATTACGGTGAACATTTGCGGGGCTGCTCCCCTTGTTTCTTCTGTCTTCTGGCTTTCCCCATTAAAATCAAGGCGCTAACCTGAAACCTGTATAATTTTATTGACCAGTAGCACCCCAATATATTCAATAAAATTTTTTAAAAATCAAGGCGTCGCAACACCTCACCCCCAACCCTGTCTCCACTCAATATCCTTCAGCCCTGGACAGCGGCCACCAGGTTAGGGAAAGAGAGGCAAGGCACGGAGGGTGCAGAAGATGGTGAGAAGCCACCCAACTCCAGTTCTAGTTCAGAACCACACTTGCCTTCTCCTGAAAATATCCCAGCCCAGATAAAGTGGGCCCCACTGGGGACCAAGACTACCCACCCCTCTGGTCCCCTCGTCACACAGGAAGGAGCTTTTTGACCAGAAGGCGGATTCCCACAGCAGCGGTGAGCCATGAGCTCCCTCCCGAAAGGCTCTGGCAAAGAAGAGACAAAGAGAGGGGGGGTGTGCGTGCGCCAGTTCTCTGGGAGCGAACGCATTTTCCACGCGCGGTTAAAGACACCGTTGGGAAATACCCCAAATACCCTGGATGAAGGAGTCTGGTGGTGAAGGCCCAGGCCGATGCCCCTTTGACGAAAGAGCGCCTACAACCACCATGTCCGTGGCAGGTGAGACAGCAGTTCAGATCCCGAGGGCTGCGGGACAGCCCGATCTTTGACCCTGGCCCTCAATTCCCCTCGTGCTGGAGTGGGGAGCAGGGAGGCCTGTGTGGACGGGGGCAGGGAGGCGACTCCACTGCTTCCTGGGGACTTAGTGCCCCCCCCATCCACAGCTGCTTCTCCCACGTCTCCCCTCCAGTAGATCCGGGGTAGAAACACTCTAGTAATTTGAGACACCACACTGTCTCTCAATAAGACGAATATTCTATTTTGACAAGTACACAGTCTCTGGACATGAGAAATAAGCTACAGGTAAGGTCTTGAAAGACCATAATTGGCACCGGTGCCCTGGGACGGAGAGGGCCTGGGTGTGGCCCCACCCCCCGCCCCATTTTCAGCAACCACCTCGCTGCCCCCAGGGGCAGCTCTGGAAGCCAGCATGGACGGCGCTCAGGTTTCCTACAAGTGGAGGGACAGCCGACCCGAAATGCAGTTAGCAACCCCTAAACTGCAAAGCATTTTGCAAATACAATTTGCTATAAATGAATGCCACTTGCAGGAGGCTACGTCTGTACCCCACAGCGCAGAGTGGGTGAACTCCCCCTGTAGAGGATCATGGTGTGAGGACACTGGCCCTCTTGGTGGCCGAGAGCCCACCGAGGCCATGCCCAGGGCCTCAGGCATGTGCATAGTCACCCACCTGGACTCGGGAGCCCAGGAGGATGATGACAGAGGCCCAGCTACTCTCTGCTCCTGGGAACTCACGGGTCACAAAGGGGACTTCCTGGTCGTGGAGGACATGGGCACAATTCCTGTGGGATTCTGGGGCTGCTTTAGTACCTCTGTCTCCAGAGTCAGTGCCCAAGGCAATGAGAGGCTAATGTCACCACAGTGAGAGCCACAGAGGACGGTCATTAGACAGCGAAGACATCAAGTGCGAGCGAATCAGACCCCAGCTTTGGGAGGTGGCTCCGGCCCGTGGGAAAGAAAGTTTGACGTGGGGCCAACGGGACTCGGTTGGATGCCCACCGACAGCCCCACTCCGGCACCGCCCCCCACCCCCAACCTGACCCCGCCTGCCCCTTACGGTCCACACTGGATGTCCTCAGTTACCTGGGGTCACGTTTATGTCCACGCACCCAGGCTCAGACCACCCTCTCAGGCCGTTCAATCGTGTATTTGGACAGGGAGGGCCGGGGACTCTGCATGGACTTAATGTGAACTCCTGGACTGACAATGGGACACACCCGCAGAACAAAGTGCGACACAGCGGACTAGTGACCAGAGGGAAGAGGACAGGCCACAGACTGGCCGCTTCTCTCCACCGCCGTGGGGGCTGCGCGTGCCCGGGGTCAGGAGCTCTGTCTCCCTGGAAGCAGTGCCCAGAGTTTCGGTGTATAAATCCACACCCACGACCATCGTTCTGTCTCTATCACCTACTGTTACCTACTATTACCTGTCTATTTACCTGTATCTCTGTATGTGTAGTATCTCCACACACACACACACATCAGGGGAGAAAGTGGGAGTGAATGTATTAAGTCACGATAGGGGGCTCCGATGTTTTACTCAAACGTAATAAAACCAAAGTCTTATCACATGCGGTGACAGCCTGCTCCTCAAGTGTAAGAGGACCTTAGCGAGCTTGCCGGGAAGTCCACGTGAACGTCGGCCCAATGGCACCTTGAACTCTGCACGCCCCAGACTGCAGCCCTGGCTCCCGCCATCCGCACCACCTGCCCGCTGCAGGGGGGCCCCAGCCCAGCAGAGGGCGCCGGCTTCCCAGCTGCTCGAGGCAGGAACCCGGCTTCCTTGCTGGTTCTGCCCTGCTCTCCCCAGGCTCCTTAAGTCTATACTCTTTACTGCC